GTCGCCGGGCAGCCGCCGCCGCCCGCCGTCGGCACAGGCCGCCAGCGAGTCCGCGCCGCTGGCGCGCAGCCGCAGAGGGCTCCACGTCGGGTCGGTCACCACGGGGCAGCGCTCGAGAAGGTCGTCGCCGCTGCCATAGGCAGCAAGCAGCACGGCGGCGGCGGGGGCGCCTGTGCAGGCCTCGCCGCCGACCCGGGCGCCGCTGAACCCATGGAAGCCGTAGATGCTGCGGGAATGGGTGCAAGGGGGTGTGGGCATGGGTGGTGCTGCACCGCCGTGCTGGGGGGAGGGCCATGAGGGTAACACGCCATTTTCCCGGTGTGAATGAGGGCTTCACACTTCATCGAGATGGCACCTTCACCACCCTCCTCCCCGCGCCACCTTGCTGCGTGCGTATCAAAGCGGTCCCTCAACAACCTGCCGCTTGCCCCGGGCCCGACGCCACCCGCGGCGCCGGGGCGCTGGTGACCCGCACCTGACCAGCGAGGCGTCCAGCTCAGCGTGCAGCAGCTCAGCGGCCTCAGTCAGGCCCAGCCCCGGGGCATCGCTCACCGCCGCCAGCGCGTTCTGGAGCCTGTGCACCTGTTAATGAGGAAAGGAAGTGTGTGCCGGTTCAGAGATGCATGTTTTGGAGGGAGGGCGCCCGAAGGCGGGAGGGCTCGCGCCCGCCAGCGGCAGCGCTGTTGCGGCCCACAGTCCCCAGCCGCCGCAAGCGCCCGCGGGCTGGGTACAGACCCGGCGGTGCGGCACCTGCAGCCATGCGTGGGCACGTTCAGACGCCAGATGCGATTGCCGCACCTGGCGGAGGGTGTCTAACGGCATGTCTGCCTCCTGTGCTGACTCCGCGCCAGCAGGTCCACAGCCGGCCGGGATGCTGGTAACAGCGCTGCTGCTGCCGCCGCTGTCGGCGTGGCACAGCACCGCGGCACGATTGTGCATCAACAACTTGCTTTCAGCGACGTGAGCGCTGCTGTTGTGTGGAAACCGGCCGTCGCTGCGGGCGCCGCCATGACGGTCACTAGCGTCGTTAGCGCTGGTGTCCTCGGGCATGCTCATGCATGCGCCCATAGGACCTGCGGGGCGGTTTGGGACGGAACTAGCTCTTGTTATACTGGACGTCCTCGCGCGCCCTCAGGGGGCTTGAGTGGCGGGCGGCACGCTGGTCGGTCGCATGCTGGCAACCCAGGATCAAGCATGCACCATCAGTGGCGCATGCAGTTGATGTTCGCAAGTCATTACCCTGGGAATTTTTGGCCAAGAGCGCGCAAGAGACTCCGGTCACTGATGCGCTTGTCAGACGCCGACTTGTGCAAATCGCTACGGATTAATCGTGCACACAGATGCCCAAAAACCCAAGCTGACCGCAGTACTTTAGGTGATGTAGCGCGCAGGCCGCGAACTACGCAGCTAGCCCGGAGTCATTCGGATTTGGCAATCATGGCCGGTGATGATCTCGGGCATCACCCTCTCGCTGGGTCATCTCAGCAGCCAAGCCCTTTCGTGATGCCAGGTGCCAGTCAAAAGCTCCCATTCAATAGAAATTCACGTTTTTGCCCATCTGGGCCACCAGCAGTCACCCTGCCGCCAGATTGAGCCGTGCCGTCAGGACCATGGCGGGAGTGACAGACATGCCCACGGCGGGTCCTAGCGACTATGCAACATGAAAGTGAGCAGGGCAGTCCCATAGTCTCAGAAACTTTGCCCTACAATTTCATATTCCCACTAGTTGCACACACACTCACATGCGCGCGTGCACATGCGCACGTACACGCACACGCTCACGCGCACGCGCCCACACACCCACGCCCCCATCTCCCCCCCCCACACACACACACGCACGCACACATGCACACACACGCGCACATGCACACACACACACACACACACACACACACACACACACACACACACACACACACATCCATCCATAAGTGCGGCGAACCACACGTAGATCAGCAGGGGGAGACATGCCGTGAGAAATAACTGGCCCTGGTGGCCCTGGCTCAGCAAAGCTGTTACCTGGCAACGCTCCAGAGCGCCGATTACTACAGTGCATGACTTTGCAGGGAGCAGGGGCGGTCTGAAATACGCGAAATGACTTACTATGGAAGGGGGCATCTTTAGACTGCGCAACACCAGGGAAACCGCAAGCTAGGTACAGGTGAGGCCCCAGCACACCGGCGGTCCACCCATCGGCCGTCACCCGCCGGATGCGGATTGGGCCGCGACAAAGTCCCGCACCGCGGCCACGAGGGCCTTGGTGCGTGGGACGTCGTGGCCACCGCCGTGCCGCGCCAGCCGGCGGCCCGCGCCCGGGTCGAACGCGGCCGCCAGTGCCTCGCTAGCGGCCACAGGGATCCCCCCGCGGCGGCAGCCCGTCCCGGCGTCGCCGCCGGCGCCCTCTGCGGCCGCCGAGCCGCCAAATACGTGCAAAGACGGCAGCTGCAGGGGCCCCGCCTCAGCCATCAGGCGGGCATGCAGGGGGCAGGGGCTGGGGAATCCCGACAGGAGCACAGCGAAATGCAGGCAAAAATCCTCGCCCGCGGCGCTCCTGTTTGAGGGGGGCCCTCCGTCGGCCGTGAGCGCGGCCCCGAGCGCGGCCCCCGGCGCGGCGCCCCGCGCCGCCTGCTGCATCGCGCACAGCACGGCCGCCACCGCCGCGCCCTGGGAGAAGCCCAGGAGACCGTCCACCGGCGCATGCGCTGACAGGGCCGCCCGCAGCGCCGCGAGCGAGTCGTCCCAGCCGGCGGTCTGGCACGTGTGCTGCTGGCCGTCCAG